CCCTCCCCCCAAATTTCCTCTGCCCCCCCTGTAGTATACATAATGAATGCTGCCTTAGTGGGAATCAAGGGAGTAGGAGTTGATTTTTGATTTCCAAGGGAGAGAAGGAGATGCATTAAATTAACATCAACACCTTATGGTGACCGGATTTTTATATACATTTTACCGTTCTCACACTCAGTAGTTATGAACGTCACGACGCTTATAATATATATTGGAGTTCCTGTGGTGAAATTTTAGTGGCCTGGTGCTCTGCCGGCGAGCGAGATTTCCGGGTAGTGTGTAAAAATTCTTAAATATCTTCGGGTGGAGTTGCGGCATGCAGATAGAGATAGCCTGCTAACAAGCGTTCCTTCTCGGCCCTCTAGCAGGAAAGCCTGTTAGCAGGCTACAGAGAGAGAGAGAGAGAGAGATGGAATTCATGACTATTCGTCTTTTTAGGAGACTTCCAGAAATTTTATAGGGATTAAGGAAGAAGGTGTCAAATTATGTAGGGATCAAGGGAGATCATGACACTTGGGAAGGGCTCGATAGTTACCAGCCCGAAACTTATACTTTGCCGAGTAAAATCATGCCTCTTTGAGTTGTTTATGGTTATTTTATTGAAAAATAGAAGATGAACAAAAAGAAATGGATTAATTGTCAAACTGGCATACACACAAGATAAATACAAGATAAGTGCTTAAATTGCCAACCATCTGTCCATGGATTATAAAACAACTGTCTCATGTGAAAAAGAATAATTCCAAAACAAATCGATTTGTYAAAATGGAATACATACAGATAGAGATGGAGCTCATGACTATTCGTCTTTTAGGAGACTTCCAAAAACTTTATAGGGATTAAGGAATAAGGTGTCGATCAAATTATGTAGGGATCAAGGGAGATCATGACACTTGGGAAGGGCTCGATCTAGTTACCAGCCCGAAACTTTGCCCGAAACTTTGCCGAGTAAAATCATACCTCTTTGAGTTGTTTATGGTTCATTTTATTGAAAAATAGAAGCAAAAAGAAATGGATTAATTGTCAAACTCTGATACACACAAGATAAACACAAGATAAGTGCTTAAATTGCCAACCGTCTGTCCATGGATTACAAAACAACTGTCTCATGAAAAAATATAATTCCAAAATAAATCGATTTGTCAAAATGGAATACATACAGATAGAGATGGAGCTCATGACTATTCGTCTTTTTAGGAGACTTCCAAAAACTTTATAGGGGATTAAGGAAGTAGGTGTCAAATTATGTAGGGATCAAGGGAGATCATGCCACTTGGGAAGGGCTCGATAGTTACCAGCCCGAAACTTATACTTTGCCGAGTAAAATCATACCTCTTTGAGTTGTTTATGGTTATTTTATTGAAAAATAGAAGAATAACCAAAAAGTAATTGATTACGATTGTCAAACTCTGATWMACAYAAGATAAACACAAGATAAGTGCTTAAATTGCCAACCGTCTGTCCATGGATTACAAAACAACTGTCTTATGAAAAAATATAATTCCAAAGTAAATCGATTTGTCAAATGGAATGCATACGTTAAGTGTCAGTAGAACAACTCAATAGTGGCCATGCATCTGTCCATGGATTATAAAACAGGTAGCTGTCTTATGAGAAAATACCGGCTTACCGTCCAAAAAGACACTTAAAACGAAGTCAAAAAAAGGGATGTCTTGAGGACATATGTACAAAGTTCACTGAAAAAAAGTTGGGAAACATCCCGAATAAAAGATAATCGCATAGTCAAGTTTAAACGCAATTATTCTAATTGCCAAAATGTTATTTAAGAATAGTGTACATATGATAATTATACTAATGACATAATTGCTGACAGTGCATAGGCTGGTCTTATTCTGACATCTTTCAAATTGAAGACAAAAATCTTTCTGTCAACTTTCTGTCACAGAAAACGATCAGTATACAAGCCCAGAAAGTAGTCTATAGCTACCCATAAAGTTCTGAGCTCCATTCAAGCACCCCGCAATGTCGAATCTTCAGATCTTTGCACTTGCCGTTTTGCTTTCCTGTCTGAGTTCTAGCGTTGTTGGTCAGACAATCAGTGGACAGTCTGAGATCTTTCAAAGTAAAAGACTTTCTTCCAAAAAGTCAGATATTTTGATAAAAAGCAAGAAAGTAAGCAGCAAGCTGGAGTGTACAATGATTTGCTCCAGGACAGACTCCTGTCGCTCTGTCAATGTACAGAAAAGAACCGGAGCACACAAGATAGAATGTGAACTTTTATCGAAGTCAAAGCGTGATTCGGACACCATCTTGGAAAAGAGAGACGACTACGACCACATCGACATGATTGTAAGTATCCAACTATTGTTTTCGTAGACATTTCCTATTAAAAAATACTTCAATTAGTTTGGCTGGGCTGTTTTTTTTCCCGCACATTTTTGTCGTTTTGTTGTTTCCTATTCAATGCAATTTCAAAACAATAAATA